ATTAGTTCTCTCAAATGGGAATTTTTTATTATTAATCGTTGCATTATGGTCACAGCTAGTCCCCCCCCCCACACACACACACCAGGATGGCTCTATTAAAACATACGTCATTGCTAGTTTCAGACTAGTAGACCATGCCACTTAGCTGTCAACGGCACTTTGCTTAACCTGCCCGTACCTAACGTAAATTCTAATGTATCACTACGCCCACCCACTCACGTCTCCACGCACGGACCGACAACGTTAGATTCATGATCATGCAGCCTCCGTCCGCCCCTCTGCTGCTGCTGCTGCTATCCGAGCGTACATACCGTGCAGCGCGGGGCCTCTCCAACCAACGCATCAATCAGCACTCATATATACGTCGCAGCCAGAATGAAAGCTACCGTTATGATACACACACATACCATCCACCACCGCCGCGCTCATAAGCCTCCCGATCTACGACCGCGCTTGCCCTGGTGCGCTCAAGATGTCTATCTTAATGATGACTAAGTGTTGCCGCAGTCGCTGAACAGCAGCGATTAGTTGCCTATTTTATGAACTGTCTTACTGTTTATTACCCACGGACCGCTCGCCGCGCCTCCAGGGAGGCGGGCGCTTTTTGTGCGCGGGAGGTGTCTGTCGTCGTGGAGCGGACAAAAAACTTACAAGCGATGTTTAATTAATGAAATAAGCTGGCCATAAAATTTACAATGAGTACATGTAATTACTGTTGTTCCCAATGCTCCGTCGATCAGCGTAGTAGAATTATTGATGAGAGCTGACACCAATGTGCTGCTTGTTTAGTCACACGAACATACCAGTGTTAACTGTTTGCAGAGTGATCTGACGTGGTTCCTCTTGTACCGTGGTACACGGAAGGGACTGTACTGCTGTGCGCGTAGTTGTACCACACTAACCACAGCATACGAGGTTGTACTACAGCATACGAGGCTGTACCACAGCATACGAAGCTGTACCACAGCATACGAAGCTGTACCACAGCATACGAAGCTGTACCACAGCATACGAAGCTGTACCACAGCATACGAAGCTGAATTTAACTGGTGT